AATATAATGTTACATAATTATTTAAATTGGATGAACACAATTTAAAAAAACTAACTTCTCTTTATTTCTCTCATACCAAATAGTTTTTGTTTTTATTTTACTCTTACATATTTCTTTTAATTTTTTCTCTTTTTTTTTTCTTTTATTTATTTCTTCTTTACCAAATATAATGTGAATAATCTTTAAAATAATAATATCATATAAAATTTTCTTTATAATCACATTATTATATAGTCCTTTAAGTATTGAAATTTTCTTCAAATTAGATCCTCAACATAGTAAAAATATATTCAAATAGGAACGAAATTAATGAGTTTTCTATATTTTTAAGAATTATTTGTATAATTTTATTATTTTAAAAAGTACTTAGAGTAATATTTGACAACCAAAATCTTATTTTGTGGCCAAATAATTCTTACAAAATACTGCGTAATTCTCATTTAATACGTGTTAGTATTAAATTGTTTATATTCTCGGGCTAATATTCAAAACGGCGGTATAATTACGCATGCGTTACGGGAGAGATAATCATGCATGCAATGTTGCAATTTTATCAAATTAGCTTTTTGAATAAAGTTTTTTAAACTAAAATTATCTTGTTAATTACTTTTAAAGATTTCTAAAAATATATAAAATTAAGAATATAAAGGCAGTTAATTGCAATATAAAAAATTATAATTTTATATATAATATTGTTATTCAAAATTTAAAATTTTTCACTCTAAATATTTTGATATTTTGATGTGATTTCTATTCGACACCAATAATTTTATTGCACATATAGTCCGTTTTGAGAGACTCGTAGCCTTTTCCCCGCTCACATTTTTCCTTTCTTTATCATTCCCTCTCTTTTTCCCATTTCCTTCTTCCAAACCTCTTTCATTTCTTGTTGATTCTCAAGGTTGATGAGCAATTCGTGTGTTAGGGAGTTTTGAAGCCCGGAGTCGGATTCTCATTCCATCTTCTTCTTCTTCTTATTCAACCTCGGAGTAGCTCGAAGTTCATCGTTCACTCCGTTTTGAGGTAAGGGAAGCTAGAATCTTGGGCTGTTGTTTGAATTGAAACATAATATTAGTTGGATTCTTGGAAAATTTGAGATTTTGGGGGTGGGTTTAAGGTTGGTTGCATGTTGAAAGCTGAAACCTTGTGGTTGTTCTTGATGATCTCTTGAAATCTTGGTGCATGCATGTGGTGTTTCTTGGGGTTTCTGAATTGTATAAACAAAATGAGTAAATATTATGAAGGTAGATTATGTTTAGGGGTAAAAATTGATGGATTTTGAGTGAACATCGAATGTGAAACCATGATATTTCATGAAATTCTGAAACTCACAGCCATGGTCGTGGATTCACAGTCATGGCTGTGGATTCACAATCATGACCGTGGATTCACAGCCATGGCCATGGGGAAAAATGAAGTGGCTGAAACTCACAGCCATGGCCGTGGGAGAAAAATGAAGTGGCAGATACTTGTAGCCATGGCCGTAGAAAGGAAACTCAGATGGCAGAAATTCAATGCTAAAGCACTGATTTGAGCGCTGCGGCGGTGAGGGTAAATGACCGAATTTGGTCTTGAGATCTTCATGAAAGTTATAGCCTTGAATGTTAGCTTTCCAATGGCGCTGAAATCACCCAAAAAGGAGGTATAGAGCTCTAGTTATGACCTTTTAGTGAACAAAGGTCAAGCTGTCAGTATTTAGGAAAACAGTTGCGGTTTTTACAATTTTTAACGTGGTATATGAGGGAATTAAAAACTGAGTTCTTCATGAAAATTGTAGAAAATGTTCTTGTCTTTCATATGAGATAAGGATGAGAGTGATTGGAGTAGTAGAACTTCCTATGGGTTGTTTTATGTGAAGGTTGTCAGTGTATAAATAAGTGATTTTGATAAATTTCATGTGATACATGTTGTATGATGGGTGAAATTGGTGAACATGAATAGAATGATTGCGTCTATTGCATGTTTTATGTTAAAGGATGATGATAATAAGCATTGGAATGCTATCCTTGTGCACTTGAAATGGTGAGAGTATTGGTATGCTTTATATGTTTGATATGTTATGTTGAATTAATTGTGGAGCATTGATATGTTATTATTGTATAAATTGTTAAGTATTAGCATGTTGTTCTTGGTTGAGATTTTAAGCATTGATATGATATTATTGTATAAATTATTCAGCATTGGTATGCTGTTCTTGGTTGAGATGTTAAGCATTAATATGCTATTATTGTATAAATTGTTAAGCATTGGTATGCTGTTCTTGGTTGAGATGTTAAGCATTGATATGCTATTATTGTATAAATTGTTAAGCATTGGTGTGTTGTTCTTGGTTGAGATGTTAAGCATTGATATGTTATTATTGTATAAATTGTTAAGCATTTGTATGCTGTTCTTTGTTGAGATGTTAAGCATTGATATGCTATCATTGTATAAATTGTTAGGCATTGGTATGCTTTTCTTGGTTAAGATGTTAAGCATTGGTATGTTGCACATGATTGATGGTATTGATCTCTATATACATTGATTGGATGTAATGTATATAGTAGATGTATAGTACGGTGTGGATGCTGAGAATGCAGTGTGACATTATAGCAAGATGGCTAACTTAGGATTTGAGAAGAGAAAATTATTTTGAAAATTGAAGATCCCACATAGGGTATCTTGGAGTGGTGCTCGGGTAGGCCACTGTTTGGAAAACCCTCCTTAAGTAGTTGTGTCTCTTGGAGTAGGTTTTGAGGTGTGTTGAGTCTTCTCCAAATCCTTAGTTAGTGGTTGAGTAAGGTAGGGGGTCGAGGGCTACAACACTTAACCAAGTACCTAGAAAGGTTATGTGGTTCCTTGAGGATAATTAGTGGACGAATTTCATGTGACTTGGTAATGCATGCCAAGGTCGTGGTAAGTCTATACCCAGCTGTACTACTCCTAACGATGGAATCGAACTTTTCTAGTGTAAGTGATCAGACCAGAGAAACCATAGGAGGGATTGGTATCCCATTTTGCTGTGATCGAGCCGACACTTTGAGCGTGAAAACAATTGGGTTGGTTTGGTAGGATGGAAATAACTTAGACTGCTCATGTTGTTAGGAGATCTTCGAGTTAAAATGCGTGACGACGCATATGTGTTGATGAGTTGATATTGTAATGATATGAGTTGTATGTGTTGATGCATTGTGAAGGTGTTGTTGATGGAAGAGCATGGGCTAAAGGCCCAACCACTAGAGCTATGGCCAGGAGATTACTTGAAGACTTGTCTGCTTTAGAGCTTAGTGGGCCCAATGGGCTTGGTGGGCCTAGGGTGCTTCTCACTTGGACCTTACTTGATTGAACAACATGTTTTATTGCATTTTCTTAGCATAGGAAGTTACTTTGATTTTGGTCTTGTATTATGACCATAGATTAGGGTTTTTGTGTTTGGGCTTATATTTGGGCTTCTTGGGCTTTGGGCTTTTGATACCCAATATTAGGCTCATTCTTTTTCTTGTAATTTTTCCTATTCGTTGTATTTTCTTGACCATTGTATTTAGGTCATTAGATTAGGGTTTAAGGAGGATTAGTAGTTTAATTGGATTAGGTTAAACTAGGTTTAATTTAGGATACATTTAAGTTGCATTTTAAGTCACATGTTTCACGCCACCTTGGCTGAACATGTGTGACTTAAAATTAACCCTAAATGCATCCTAAATCACACCTAAATGCACCTAGCCTAATGTGACCGGACATGACATGTGTGTGTGAAGTTTTGAATTCAAAATTTTTGAATTTTGAATTCAAAACTTGGCGCCACATGTGACTCCTTCACATTGGCGCCAAGTGCCTTGAAACCGGATCTTTTATATTGCCTCCTTCACACTTTGTAGCTCACTTTGAACATTATATGAAATTTGAGAGCCTTGTGTCGAGTTTCCCTTCAAAGTCTTCGTGAGAGAAAGTGAGCTTCACCTTAGGAACCCTACTAGGTTTCCTCCTCTTTGAAGTGAGCCTTCCCTTGCTTCTTAAGCTTGGATGCTTCCATCCAAGGCTTAAGCCTTTTCTAAATCCGAGATTCATCTTCCATCTTGCCTTCAATCCATTCGGTTCCAAGCTCCTTGAAGAAGATTCGTGACTTGGTGAAGAATAGGAGAAGAACAACATTCACTCCTCCTACCTTTGCCATCAATTGTTGAGATGTGTGTTATTTATGTGTTGTGCGCTGTATGTTGAACAAGTTGATGATGATGATAATGTTGTTAGATTACCTATGTTGTAAGTTACTTTTAAATATACGTTGTTGAGAGGTGTGTAATACATGTGTTGGTTGTTGTTGTGTTGAATATGGTAACTATTATGATGAGTTGTATAGTAGTTTGTGTTGATACTATGTTGATCAGTGTTGATGTGTTGAATTAAGTTGAAATGATGTTAAGATGTGTAGTATATGTGTTGTTTGTTATTTGTGTTGGATGTGAAGATGATTATATAGTTGTTGTGTTTCATATTTAATTATTATGAATTGTTTATTTTCTCTAGCTTACCCTTACATGTTTCCATGCTATTTGGACTTTGATGATCATACGATGTATGAGAGTAGGGCATGAATAGGTTGGGAGATAGATGCTAGAGGCCACATGAGGTCCTAGAGTGGATGTTCCTTTTGTAGACTACCTTATAGTAACAAATTTTGCTATTTATGGTTAGATGAATTTTGGTTGTTTGACTAGCAACTTGTGTTATAAATATTTTTATTTTATTTTTTTAGTATATATTCAAGTAGTGTGTTATGTTGTTTCATATAGTGTGACAATCATGGTAGGTTGTTACACGTTCAAATATAAATTTAATGTTTTTTATCCATTAAAATAAAATTTGGTAATAGAACTATCAAATGATTGGTCTTCCAAAATTTGTATGGGTGACTTATTTTGTATTCCATTTGTTCTATTAAACTTAGTTAAATTGAATTATTTTATTATTTTTATTTTTCATTTAAATTTTACAAGTAAAAATAAAAAATAATATCAAAATAATAGACTCGATAACCTTTGAGCATGAAAATTATTGGCTAATCTTAATTTAGTTGGCTTGCTAAATTGGATTAAATTGACCTGATTTTTTTTTTAAACTTCTTTTGAATTTCAATTTATCAAACCATTTTTTGACACCTTTACTTATACTATAGATTTATAATAATTGATTCACTTTATTCAACCAATAGAGTTACATTTCTTTGGTAAGTATAAGATTAATATAATCTTTGCATAAAACGCTCTAAGGTGAAAGGAAGAGAGAAATTAAAAAAAAAATGTAACAAGTGATGTGAGAAAAAAAAAAAAAAAAAATAAGTGAAAGAAGAATGATGAAACATATGAAAAAGCAAGTTTACGTTCTTAAAGATTGAAAAATGAAAGTGTATTTTTTTAAAAGTTAAGAAAAAAATTAATTATCCTTTTCAACATCAAATAATTAACTTAAAATTAAAATTAATATAAATAATAGATTTAAAATTGAGTTTTGCCCCCTGGGTATAAGTTTGAGGTGATATTGGTTCTCATATATATTTTTAATTATCTGAGTTTGGTTTCATTAATTTTAAAATGAACGATTTTAATCCAACCATGAAATTGTCATCCTATAGTTAACGGAGTTGGTGACATGGATTATTTTTGTTGACGTGGGTTCTCTTGGCTGGACTGATATGTCCAAAATTTAATTGTTGATACGAATAAGTTGGGAAATAAAATTAGAAGAAAATGGATCTTCCAAATTTATTTTATCTTACGTTGGAGCAAATTTATTTATGTTCTTGCGTGGCTGGTGAGTTACGTCTTAGAGCATCTGCAATGGAGGTTGCTTAGAGCACCTTCAGCGGAGGGTGCTTGTGTTGTGTCTTAAAAATAAGATACGGAATTTATTAAAAACTCTCATTAGAGTGATCCTAGGTGGCACTTGAGTTGCTTAAAAATTTGTTAGTGTTGCTTGTACAAGACACGTTGCTTAGCATTAAGGAGAGAACTCTGATTGGCTAAAATGCATCTACCTGGAAAATGGTTCAGATTTAAGAAAATAATTTTTTTTGAAAAGAACGTGTTCATCTTCGTCTCCTCCGACACCCTCTGCGCATGACCAGAACGGCAGCCGGCGACCACCGCGTGATCAGAACGGCAGCCAGAACCACCGCAACCACCGCGAGCGCCAGAAGGCCCAGAACCCCTCCGCGTGCGACCCAGAACCCCTCCGCATGCCCCTCCGCGCGCGACCCCTCAGCCCAGACCACCTCCGCGTGCGACCCATAACCCCTCCGCGTGCGACCCAGAACCCCCCGCGGCCCCTCCGCGCGCGACCCCTCAGCCCAGACCACCTCCGCGCGCCAGTCAGAGAAAAGAGAGTGAAGAGAAGTGCGGTGGGAGAAGAGAGAATGAATAGAGAGTGCGGTGGGAGAAGAGAGAGTGAAGAGAAAGTGGGGTGGGAGAAGAGAGAGTGAAGAGAGAGTGCGGTGGGAGAAGAGAGTTGATAGACGTAAATAAAAAGAAATAAACTTTGAAGAGTCGTTGGAGAGGTAAAAATTTCTTTTTATTATTAAAATTTTTGATATATTTTTTATTATGTAATTTTTATTATTATTGAAATATGAGTTGTAAAAAAATTGAGGTGTCAAAAAGTGTAATATGAGTTGTAAAAAAGTTGAGGTGCTTATAAGCAATTGCCATTGGAGTAAAAGTTGTAAAAATATAGTATGAGTTGCTTATGAGTGACGTGGCACAGTGGGACCCATTTAAAGTGGTTGGGAGCATTGTAGATGCTCTAAGCAATTCCCTGTGTCACATCAGTGTCATGTCAGCCCTGACCCACTTTATGGGTTGCTTAAATTTTAGCAGAGTTGTTTGTACAAGCAACTCTACTAAAATTTAAGCAATTCATAAAGTGGGCCAGGACTGACATGACACTGATGTGGCACAGGGAATTGCTTATAAGCAACCCCATTGCAGATGCTCTTATGTCATGTTTTGCATAATGTTACTTTCATGTAGGTTTGCATACGTAATTAGGCTTAAATTTACTTTTATTTTCTGGAGTTTTGTTAATTAGGACTTTTAATAATTTTGTTAGTTTTTTGTTTAAGTGATAGCTTGTGTGCAGTTTGTTTGGCTTTGGAGATTTGAGCTCGAAGGATTGATGGAGAATTGAAGGCAGAGAGAGAGAGAGAGAGATAAAATTTCGAGAAGTTGTTTTATTACAAGCCTTTGATACTTAAAAAGAACCAGCAGAGAAAAGAAAGTGTGAACACTGGGTCGCATATTTGTAACTTTTTAATTCTCAAACTTATATATGTCAATAATTAAATTTTGGACACATGTCCATCCACCTTGAAATCTTGAATAGTCCATGTCAATAAAAATAACCCACCTCATCAACTCTATTAACTATTGCATGAGAACTTAACCCCTTTTTAAATCAAAAGAGATCAAAATTAGACAATTATTAACTATCATTTAAGGTAAACTGTACATTATTATTATTATTATTATTTTATATAATTAAAACCCATAATAAATAAATACCTTAATTATATATTTTATTATAATAAAAATTTGTAATAAATAAATCATCTTGATTAAACAAATTATATTTATAATGATTATTTTTAACTATATAAATATTTAAATGAGAGTAATATAAGAAATATTTTGAAATACAATATAAAGCTTAATTAAAAAAATAAACAAACTAATGCAGTGGGACGGCAATTTACAGAAAATAAAATTAAAAAGACTTATCTCAGATACAGTCGAGCGCAGATAAAAGAAAGTGAGAGCCAACCCATTGATGACACGTAAGGAAGAGTGTAGAGTGCGCATCTTAAAGAAAGAGAGCGCTGCGGTGCACGTTATCGCTGCCCCCGACATCACTCCCTATCTATCTATCTATCTGTTTGAAGAAATGGAACAAAATAAATACAAGGTTAAGTTTCGGAAAATAAATAGAATAAAAAAAGACAAAACCAGTTCCGATGCGAGCTTCGTTCGGTTAATGCCTTTTCTCTTCGAGATCAACCTCGACGCTGTCCGAATCCAACAACTTCCTCCTAAATCCACGTCCAATCTCACCCACCCACCTTCTTTTCCTAACACGCATCGTTAGCTAGGTACCTTCCTTCATCACACCCTTTTCTATGCACTATTCTATTTTTTAACCAAAACCCACATAATATGTTACTATTCCGTCTTTGATTGTTCATTTCGGAGCCTTGTTTCCGTGCTTGTGTGTGATGCTGGTGTTAATGCAGGTGATTGTAACGAAGTCGACGTAAATTTGCATGCAGTCTGGTGCGCTGTGGTGGATACATATATATATACATACGTGATGACCATGAAGCGGTTGGTGAGAGTGAAGAGGGATGCGGTTGCAGCATGCATGACTTGCCCTCTTTGCAACAACTTTCTCAAAGAGGCCACTGCCATTTCTCTCTGCCTTCACACGTGTTAGTGCTTCCTTCTTATAACCCCTCATAGGATCTCAATTTTCTCTAATTTTTATTCTTTTTTGAGTTTTCCTTCATGGGGTTTGTCCTACTTTTTGTGTTCTCCATTTGGGTTCGGTGCTTCTTTAATTTAGTGACTCTTCCTCGGATGGGGCGTGTCTGGTGTTTGTTTAATTATGGGTGTTTGATAATTTGAGTGCTTTTGGAAAATCGCGTGTCACACACCGTGGAGGACGTGATTGTCACCCTAGGAAGTTCTGTTGGTTTGGATTGGACTACTATAAGCCTATAAGCCTGTTTGAATACAAGTTTAGAAGAGTTTTTAATAGTTTTTGTAAATAAAATGCATTTAGAGAAACTATAAAATATCCTTGTAAGCCTGGTAGATTCTCTGTTCTATATTAGGACTGTTTGACGGTAATTGCGAGTGTTAATAATTTGTAAAATTGCTTTCTGGCATGCGTGAAGTTCTAGTCCATATTCTAGCTGACTAGCTCATGCAAGATTGGGGGTGCCTGGGAGCAAATGATCACCATGCAATTTCTACTTTTTAGCAGCTGGAAAGTTGAAATGGTTCTCATGCTGTTTATTATTTGCTACCTTAAATCCATGCATATGGCTGGCATAATGTTATGTTTGCGTGCAATTTTCTGATGGTCTAGCTAGCTTTTTGCTTCAGTAGCAAAAACTCTTGGCAGTTTTATGAGTTTGTGACTAAATCTCCTCATGTCAATTGTATTTCTGCTGTACTTTTCTAGTGTTGGTTTTTTAGCATATAAACTTCACCCATGCATTGAATTTTTTTTCTTGTATTTTAGTGCCTAAAAAGATATATACGAGAAATCATATCGAAGTCTATAAACCATTCAACAGTGGTCGTAACTGTGCCTGATTGTTTTTCTCTATTCCCATGGATATTGTCAAACTAACTTGTTTAGAGTTTCATGATAAGTTTGAATTTCTTGTGAATGCTTCATAGATGACTAGACAAATTGATTCTATAATTTATTTTTGCAGTTTGCAGGAAGTGCATTTATGATAAAATTACAGATGAAGAATTGGAGAACTGTCCAGTTTGTAACATTGATTTGGGCATTGTTCCACTTGAGAAAATGAGGTCAGTCCACTCAGGCAATTTTGTGACTCACCCCTTTCCTGTTGTACCTTTTCTTCAGAAAGAAGGGGAAAATAACCATAACCCCCAACCCCCTTCTTTTTTTTTGACATGGTTGTGAATTGTGAAATGATAAATATGCATGAAAGGTATTGATTTAACTTTATATGTTGTGACAATTCTATTTTGCAAGTCAATTATTGTTTCAAGGCTGCTAAAATAGAGATATAAGATATATTGTTGACGTGTCTAGTTGTGAACTGTAAAGCTGTCTAACACTGCTTGCTCAAACATTTATTGAAACCCCATTAGGGAAAGTAAGAGGAACTAACAGGTGTAGATCGGAA